AATGCGAAGAGGTGAGATCCAACAATGTCTGGAAGGCTGGTGATTCCCACCCCTGCCCTGCATTGACTGGCAGCGGATCTCCAGGGTTTCAGCAGGATCCTTTCCTAGCTCTAACCAGAGATGTGAGGGATCAAACTGTAGAGCTCCTGCATGCAAAGCATGTGGTTCACCACTGAGCTACTCCCCTTCTCCTCTACACTCCAGAAGTTAGCTTTGTTGGACTGCTGTCTGTCATATCCACCCTGGATGATAATAGAACAGGAGAAAATGTAAGGGCCCTGCTCTCCTCCACCCAGTGGTCTTTGTCCTTTCAAAATCTGGGACATTTCTTTGGTTCAAAAAATGCATTGGTATAGTAGTGGGCAACAGTGTTGCTGCAGTCCACTCAGTAGTTTCACTCCCAACCAATTGGCTGAAGACTAATGGACTAAACCTGGAATGGGCAGACTTGAAGCTTGCGTTTTGAGTTTTACCAGAAATCCAAGATCCCCCAAATGGACCTTAGTGCAGAAGATGGATATTTTAAATCTGCTAATCTGTATTGACTACTGGAACTGGATAAAGTATACAGATTTTCTATACAAAAATCTCCTCTAGTTTCCACCAACCTCCTTATACTTTCTTCATTTCAGAAATATAATTTAGCAGAGCCCAGAGTGAGTCATTTTCTTGCTCCTGTAGTTCAAATGGTAAGTCAGAACCCCATGTCAGTTTACTACAGATACAGAACACATAGAGAATTATCAGTGTTACCTTGTTTCAAGTTGTTTCTGACCTATAACAACCCTAAGGACGTTATCACATGGCGAGTCGCAGTGAGAAAGTGGAAATAAACGGGCACAAGCGGAAGTCTTTAATTTACGGGATTTGTCCCGTTCCGCCTCGTCCGATAACTAAATTCGAATTTTAAAGGGGGTTAATTCGAACGCAAACCTGATCTTTTCATTTTCAGGATTTTTGAGGATTTGAAAAGATCAGGTTTTTGTTCAAATTAACCCCTTTTTAAATTCGAATTTAGTTATCAGACGAGGCGGAACGGGACAAATCCCGTAAATTAAAGTTTTCCGCTCGTCCGGTTTATTTCCACTTTCTCCCCGCAACTCCCCATGTGATCACGTCCTAAGACAAATCTCTCATGGGGTTTTCTTGGCAAGATTTGTTTGGAGGGGTTTTTGCCTTTGTCTTCCTCTAAGGTTGAGAGTGTGACTTGCCCAAGGTCACCCAGTGGTGTTTTCATTGCCAAGCAGGGATCCAAACACTTATCTCCCAGTATCCTAGTCAACACCACACAATGCTAGCTCCCTTCACCTTCTATACGTCCCCTAAACTGATTAAACTTTTCAGTGGATTCGTATTCCACTTGACTTTTTCAAAGACCTTTTTCCATGCCATTCACTGGAAAGCAAAGAAATGACGTTGTGGCAAAAATCATGAATATTCAAGAAAAAGGAATTTGGAAGTGAAACCTACTGCTCAGATATGAGGTCAAAGTTTCTGCACCAAATCCTTCTTCCTATCTATTCATCTCTCCCTTTCCCATCATCCTTAATTTCAGATGCTGTTAAGTTGATCTCTCCCTTGGCAAGGGCTAAGCTTTCCTCACTCATAAGGTTTTTGGGCCAAGAAAGACAATTAACAGCCAAAGACCAGACAA